ATGTATGTATGTATGTATGTATGTACGTATGTATGTATGTATGTACGTATGGATGCTTTCATGTACACATGTGTTTATATACATATACATATACATATGCATATACATATACATATACATATACATACAAATAAATAAATAAATATGTATATATATATACATATGCATGCATGCATGCATGCATGCATGCATGCATGCATGCATGCATGCATGCATGCATGTATGTATGTATGTATGTATGTATACATATATAACTAACCTGCACACGCGCGCACGTGCGTAACGAAGTACCGCTTTCTTGTTTACGCGCCTGGACCTTACTCTCAACTGCTACCTGCTGTCGCTCTACTTTTTCACCCTCCTACTTAACTTAGCAGGGACGAGTACCAAACTCTGGGCTTAAGGCTTGTGGACGTACGGAGCTGTACTAACACGAGGAGCATGGGATTGAAGAGGCGGCACTACAGGCTCACAACTTGCAAGAAGTTCACACTGAAAACTGCTGCATGCACTCAAGAAGCAAGTGGCCAAGGGCGTCCTGGATACTTCTGGCACGATGCACTCTCGAGGATACAGGCCAGAGCCATGCCTCAGCCAGTGGTCCCAGCCTCAAGTGGAACGCAGGATTGCACGCGTTCAGCTTCGTTCAAGCGGGGCAGGCTGCCATTCTTGATTGAGCCCTCTGCCTGTGCTCGGGAATCGCGGCCACTCCTCGCTTGGCTGGGTTTCCGGGCGAACTCGAAAAGGTGACCCCGCGGGGGTTGGCGCATCGACATCTTCACCAACACCACACTCCCTGTCATCACTGACTCCTCACCGTAAGTAAGTATCCAAAGCACCGTCACGGCTAACATCATCCTGATCAAAATTACCATCTTCACCAACACACTAGCCGTCACTAGCACTGGCACCAAAAAAACCACCCGTACCATCTGCACCACTGTCGTCATCGACATTGTATCATGCTCATCATCACCATCATCAGCACCCACATAAACCATAAGAAACATGAATCTGCGTCTTTCGTTCTGTTGGGCAGCGCCGTGCACATGCTGATCCAAGGACAAAATCCCAAACGTAGAAACCCACCCATGTTTGCTTCTTGACTTTCTTGACCCCTGGCAATGGGCTCCTCCTTCAGCACACCAAGCCATGTGGACTTGTGAATCATCCATCCCAGGCCTGGGAAATAGTCAGTACCTTTCAGGATGGAGGGTGGGAGGGTGAGGGATCGGGGTTTCGGGAGGTAGATGGACCGGGGATCTAAGGAAAAAGGCAAAAAGGCATCAGGGAACGACTCTGGGCGCACGAAACAGCTTAGACTCGTTGTTGACCAAGCCAGGAAAGCCTGAGCTCCCGCACTCCCATCTCTGTTGTCTCTGAGATCAACACGTGACTGTGCTGCTGAGGCGCCGTTGTCGTTCCAGGCAGAGACGCAGAACAGAGTAGGATCTTCCTGCGCATCGAGACGAGATGAAACGATAAAACAAGGTCAACTCCAGGACCGAAGGAGCAGACTTCTTGCCCTGGAGGCGTCCAGGAGCAACCAGGCTGTGGCTCGGAAAAGCCACAGGAAATCGGGAGAAACCTCATGAAATCTCATGGAATTTGTGTGTTTCTCGCTAGGAGCATCAAACCTCAGGTGTGGCGGAAACTGCCGCTTCGTGGCCAGCAAGTCGTTCTCCAAAAAGATCGCGAACTCAAACTGCTGCCCTCATCCGGGGCTTAGTCTCACTGCTACTTGTTTCGCTTCAACAAGACTCGTGTCTTGTGTAAGTCACAACGACTGGATCAGCCACGGGCGTTCGAAGCTCTCCGCCAAGGCGAATCGAAAGTGCTCGGAGATCTTAGAAACTGCAGTTTTTGATTGCCTCAATCTCTCGGAGCTTCAGAAAGTTCTGGTCTTGAGGGAAGTTGGACGTGACGAAACTCAGGAGCCCACAACGGGGCACGATCCCCTGCAAGCTTGCTCTTGTGCCTAGGCTCAGGAGCCGCTCTTTGATACTGTCGCCCCACCCCTGCCCGGAAGAATTTGACTGGCGCAGAAAGGCCACAAGTCATCACAAGTCTGATTCGCCGTAACAGACATATCGTGACACATCGCCTCAAGAGCTTACAGAGACAGCTTGGGAAGCTTCCAGACATCGACCTTCAAATTGGGCGCGGCTTTCCGCACCTTGCATGCCGATCACAGTTCCCAAGGACTCCAAGGGGAGTGGCGGTGCGTGTCAATCTATATCACACTGAGCTTGAAGCTGCTGCTTCCATGTTGCCGAAAGAGGATTGGTCATCCAGGGACACGGCAATGCGAAAGTTCTGGATCTGCAGAACCACCAAGCTTCCAGCAGGTAACACCAAAAAGGAATCCTCATGCAGCCTCCTGTGGCCAACAACGAGAAAGAACTCTCTGGCAAAGACACACAAAAGCTATGTTTTTTGGTTCCGTTTCAATCTCTGAGATCAGAATCGCTTCTGCGCAATGCTTTCGCCAATGCTTCTGCAGTTGGAGTAAGCCTTCAACTGCATTTTGTGCTGGATGGCGGTCAGAGGCTTTCCACTTGTCAAAAGCAAGTTCGAGGTCCACCTACTACTTCTTACGAGTAGCACTACGAGTCAGACTTCAGCCTCGTCAAGCTGGGCGAGGGCAGCGAGACATCTTTCCAGACAGTCTGGGCGGTTGTGGGCGATAACCTTTGCAGGGGCAAGGCCGCACATGGCCTCACAGATGGCTCCAGTGGCACTGCAGTTTGAGTCTCAGGTCTCAGGGGCGCGCGACGATCACCAGCTCGTCGGGCCTTGTCCCACTCTTGGACATCGAAGCTTCGTAACATTTGCGGCCTTGTGGTGCCTCAGAGGCTCTCGAGAAACCGGTGAGCGCGGCGGCTGCATCACCCAGGACGTGCTGACCTGCCACGTCGGCGCAAAGCGGGCACAATAACAAAGTTCCCCAAAAGGGCTGTGCAAGCACCTCCCGAGGCCTCGTGGCGGAACATGCTTTGGTGTAGGACACCTGCACCAGGCTGATTTTGACCTCCTCTTCTTTTAGCTTTCGGGTCTTCTGACTTCTGGTCAGGAAGTCGATCGAGGCACCCTTCACACGATGGTCCCTTGTCACATTTTGCACGGTAACTGTCATGAAAACCTGGTGATGCTTCTATACCTGGGCCCTGTGTCTTTCGGGCATATTCTCATGACGGAATTGTAGCGGCTCGTTTGTGACGAGACTTTTGCCGTAGCTGACGAAGGGACAATAGCAGTGACTTGGCCACAGAATCGCCATGCCCACTGTATCCTGCAGGCTCTGCCCTGTGGTACAAGTTAGCCAAAAGAAAGCAGCAGGAGGAACAGTAACCTCAACAGCCACACATAATCTATGAAGCTCGTCAAGAACCAGGCAAAGTGGGCTGAGTCAGCAGTCTCAACCTGCATTTACTTGCGCGTCCTACACGACACACCGTGGACTGCGTGTGGACTGCAAGGGTCATTGAAGCTGTTCTCTTAGCGCTGGACTCAGAGACACAAGCACGGTCAAGCAAACGGACCCAGTTCTGCCAACGAGCAAAGGCTTCTGTTGATCACTCAACGAGGGCGGAGACTTCAGAAGGTGGACGGCATGACGGTGTCTGTGCTGATTTGGAGACCACTGGTTAAGAAGGGGAACTGCTGGTGCTCCCACCTTAAACGGTAGCCATACAAAGAGCTGCCTGAGAGCCGTCGCCGACCTCTGAGTCAGTGCTCAAGCAGTTGCACACTCTGGCAGCAGACGTCCACGTCCGTGTGACATCTGATTTGGTCAGCCATTAGTCATTGGGCAGTATCAGCACTCGCAACAAGTGACTCTGTGCAAGCTGGCGCTGGTATGTTCTGGTTGTGGGTCCAGCTAACCTGCTTCGAACAATCATCTTGCCATCGTGCTCACCTGCAACCTTGAAGTTGAAGTTGATTGCCCCCCAGCACGGACCGTTCAAATCGACGTTCCGAGAATCGGGGTGCGTTTTGATTCCTTCCAGCGGCATTCCCAGTCGCGCACAGGCAACACCTTCCCCATTGCGTTTTGCCCTTCGGCCCTTCGGCCTCTCTGCCTCATTTGCCTCACCTCTCTTTTTGGGCTTCAGTCGAATTCTGTCGAGTTTCTTTCATGTCGGCTTTCGGGTTTTGGTGCTTTGGGTTTAGGCCTGGGGGTCTACGAGTTTTCGTGTTTCGGTCAGGGGCTGAGGACTTGAGGGTGTCGGGTTCGGGGTGAACGGCTTAGGAGGATGCGGGCTATGGGACTTATAAGGGCTTTGGTGGGCAAGGGTTAAGGGTCCAGGGTTTTGAGTTTAGGCGTTTAGGAATTAAGACTTGATCCTAGTCAAAAACACACCGCGATACTGGTATTGGCAGCACCGGTGCGCGTTGTCCCACACCTGTATTGGTAGACTGTCAACGCGGGTGAGACTCCAAAGTCTCTTCTGTGTGCTGTGGGGGGCCCTGCTCCTTCTCCACAGTGCGTGCAAGACATGATGAGGACCATCGCATTACTGACGGGCCCACATTCAACATCATTGAACACATTAAGCTGCGAAAGGACCGTGCCCTTACCTGAGCCAAAAACGCCCACCCAAACCCTGGCCTGAACCCCAAGCCTCAGACCATCGCAAAGCCCTGAAAATCTGCAGCCTCCGGAGGTGAATTGGGTGGTGTCTGCGCCAAATATGGAAAGCCTCCTCAGGTCCACCGATGCAGCTGAAGACAACATGCGGGACACTTTCGGTCGCATATGTGTGCCTGTGTCTTCTTATACATGTACAAACAGACCTGGCTATATGGTTGTGTATGTGAATATGCTAACTTGAAGTCAGACTCGAGACAAGCTACTAAGCTTTTGTTGGAGAACCTGTTGCAGGGGACGCGCACGGCGCGCGACACGATGGGGTCGCAGCAACATGGCTTTCTTGTTTCATGTTGCATCAACTCGAAACAACACACGAAAGCCCAGCCATCACACGTACAGCTCGTGTCATGCGAATCGCCAGTTGTGGCGCGGGACTCACGGCGACTCACGTGAGTCAATGCAGATGAACGGTGTGAAAGGAAAACTAGCAAGACTGAGTTTCACGAGGTCACGGAATCATGCCTCACGCCAAGATCTCCTGGTGACCCCTCTGAAAACAGGAAAACCCACGCACTCTGGCAAGGGGATCATATCGACATGCATGCATGCATGCATGCATGCATGCACGCATGTATGTATGTATGCAGGACTATGCATGTACACGTGTTTATTCACGTGTTCAAGCGTGACCTGTTTGTGATGTATGCATGCATGCATGTACATGTAGAATGTACATTCTTTCATGTGCGTGTACATGTCGGCTCACCAAGGTGTGCAGGTTATGCATTGCGTATGCTAGACTGTACAGCAGCTGCAATTCACGATCCGCTGAGGCCGTGGCTGCGTGCTGAACAGCCTCGACGCAGAAACTTGCAATGGAATTGTCCCTTCAACCCTCCCGGTCAGAGGAGCGAACGTTGCAATGAAGAACACGTGACTCCTGCGCAGGAGTCCTGAGCACGAGCGCAGTGCCAAAAGAAGTGGTTGTTGACGGTACAATCACCACAAAAGCAACTCGGAAACTCAATCCCTCCAGGACCATCCATGACTAAAGATGCATGTTCTGGGTCCTCAAAGTCCTCAACAAATGCAAGCTTCTCTCATCTTCTCTCACGGACATTGCGCAAACGAGCAAGCCATCACGACAACCGTTCGCTTGTTGTGGCCGTGTTAACTATCCCTCCCGCGATGGAGACATGAAGCTGAAAGACTAAAGACGACGCAGTTGGAGCGGGAAGCCTAACTCCCACGTGGCATCCTCCATGCGATACGTCATCATGCAGATGCATGCCAGCAACAGTCAAAGGGGCCGTGGGCATCCAGATCATCTTCTCGAACACTGTGAGTTTCAGTGCCTCCACGGCACCATCGTGTCACTTTGCTCATGCGCCACCTCGAAGCCACCGCTGTCAACCCCATCCTGTCAAAACTCGCTTGCAAGCCTTGGATGAACCCTTGGGCCGTAAGTCTCTGAAGGGGGGACAGAACCTGTAGCCCTGCAATGCTCGTATTGATTCACGGCATGTCATATGCATGAAACCTGCAAGTCGTCACCATCGTATACGTCCGCACACTCTCGCGCCTGAGCATCGTACATTCGCATGGGAACAGCATCAAGTGGAACAGCCCCTTGAATGATTATCACTTCCATCAGACATTCGCCTCGTAACACAAACAGAAATCTTGCAGTGCAGCGGCTTCCAAAGTTGATCTTGCATGTCTGGCGAGCATTCTGCCATCTCTGCGGTGCTCCAGATCACGTTCCATCAATAGTCGAGTTTTGGTTGTAGGATTTTCTCGTTTCGCAGTCACAGCGATCCAAACGACAGTGGATCCTATGTAATGGATACGTGTAGATAGATGTGTGAGGTGGCTACGGCCTAAGGATGCCTTCCCAGCCCTGCAGCCTGTAGACCCAAGTCATGAAGCTGCCAGGACGAGTGCTCGAGTGCTCCGTTCACTCGGCAGTGCCTGAGGCTGCGGCACCAGCAGCTGCGCACCTAGAAAGATCAGTTGGATCCAGTTCTGCGGTTGGCCAAGTAACGGCCGGCCGTCGGACCGCCCGGTCCGAGGGACCGGCGCGTCCTGCGCTTCGGGCAAGCTCCTTTCAGTGTCACCTCCAGTCCAAATGCAGCAAGGACGTGGCTTTCCTTGCAAGAGTCGCCCACAGCTCGGAGCCTGAGTTCAGAAGCCTCACCGAGGCTGTGCTCGCAAGAACTTTAAATTTCTGAAAGCACGACTCCTCAGCCGGTAAGTCCTCCGCTCACCGAGGTACTTTCCAGGATGCTCTTGCCAGGCACATCCCCCCCTTGCAAAAATCCGATTGGTCCAAGCGCGGCTACATGCCGCGATGCTGGCACCTGCTTCGCTCGGCTGGCTCGAGAGGCCTGCAGAGCTGACATCGGCACAAGAGCTGCAGGCACTGTAACTGATGCAGCTCGCAGCTTGGATGGCCTCTGTGTGGACCTTTCGGATGATGCGGATTTGATCCGGCCCGCTGGCATTTCGGAAGTCGTCAAGCGGCCTCATATCTGGACCAGCTTGGCTTCTCCATAACTTAAAGACTCACGTAGGCCATGAACGCAGAGCTTGCCGCTGCTCCTTCTCCATGGCATCCAGCTGCTTGGCTATGTCGGCCTCATGCTCAGAAGGTTCGAACGTCACCCAGACCAATCCTGTTCGAACCCGCGGCAGTGGATGGAACGTCAGAATCATCCAAGGCTTGCAGCGGCCACATTGTTTGCCTCGGATGCATGTCTTGCCCGAATCAATCGTGGATCGTGAAGGCATGCTAGCACCTTTTGTGGGATCACCGAATCTCCAACATCCACGCAACGACGAAGCAATGGTGGCAGCAGTAGTAGCAGCAGCAGCAGCAGCAGCCCCACCACGACGACGACCAGCCGTCGCACAGCGCTTTGGATCACAACAGCAATACGCAACCACTCAAACCCCAAAGTGGCACAGGGGATACATTCTGGATGCCGGAAAAACAACGAGCGCAGATAGAAGGAGAATGGCCTGGTATTGACAGCTCAGCCCACCGCATCGATTCTGCGAAGCGGGCCTTTCGAGGGGTTCACGCTACGGACTGTATCATGCCTGACAATCTGCAGAGCGCGTCCGTCAAGCCTCTACATCTCCCCGGTCTCGTCCTTGCAAGTTCTGGTCGCTTCTGGTTGAAACTCAACAACTCGAGGGCCCGGCGTCGAAGTTTGGCTGTAAAGCGGCTTCCTCCAGAACCCAAACTTGCAACACTTGCAATTTTTGGATCACCAGCCAATGGCTCTCCTGATTCCGCGTCTGCCTTTTGCAAATGCCACCTCCATTACTCACCGCATTTTTGTCTGCGATCCATCGACTGCCGCAAAGAGCTGCCGAGAAGTTGCAAGGGCTCCTGGGGTTCCGGCAAGGTGGCCGGAACACCGAGCAGCGTGGACAAACTCATGGCCACCAAGACCTCGGGGACAAGTCTGATCAAGGAAACGTGCACAAACGGGGCAAAAAAGGAACGATCGAAATAACCACACTCTCCCCGCTCACTCACTCACTCACTCACTCACTCACTCACTCACTCACTCACTCTCTCACTCACTCACTCACTCACTCACTCACTCACTCACACACACACACACACACCTCTGCACATTTTCGGATCACCGACCGGCATCTGCATGTGCCAGCTCCCAGGCCATGGACGCAGAAAGTCGAGTGCAGTCTAGCACTACCTGGCACTACCTCCAATGGCTCCGCCTACAGCGTGAGCACTTTGAGTTCAATCTTCGAAGGTCGCAATCGACTTTTCTCGGGCGCAGCTCCAAGTCCTGGAGCACCGAAGCCGCCTGACAGGCATGGCCCGAAAAGGGAAAACCGCGGCCGCCGCCTACGGGCTACATGTTTGTTAGAGATCTTTACTCTCCATATTTGAGGACAGGTTCCTCCCCAGCGAGCGGTTAGGAAGACTTGCCGTGGAAGATGGTCGCATCGCCATCAAGCTGTCCATTCTTCCATGGGTCGTCCCTCTGAGATGGCCTTCCTGATGGCGGCTTGGATGTTCGCTTGAACTTCTCTCCGTACTCTCTCAGCTCCAGCTTGCAAGGCTGAAGCTGCAGCACGGCCGGACAAGCCTTCAGCTTCCGGACAGCCTTCCCCTCTTTCAGGTCTTTCCATGCCCTTTGGTTGGGGTATGAAGGGCTTGGGCTCACGAGGATCGTCTCTGCGACCCGGACGCTCGCGACGATCGTCCCGGCGATCCTCGCGGCGGTCCTCGCGGCGGTCCTCGCGGCGGTCCTCGCGGTCTCGGCGGTCACGGTCTCGCTGGCCTCTTCCTTCGCCGCGGTCATCGCGACGGTCGCGATCAAAGCCTCGATCGCGAGAGCGGTCGCGTCGAGCATCGGAAGCTCTGTCCCGTTCTCTCTCGTTCCGCTGATCTCGGCCCCGATCATTTCCCCTGTCCCTAACCTCTTTGTCCCTCTCCGAGCGAGGCTGAGGCTCTCCTTTGTCACCTCGTTGCACACGGTCCAAGTAGCTGCCTGGTGCAGGCCGGCCTGGGGGACCGAGGGGATCGCCGTTTGCAAGCTTTTTGATCAAGAGCATGGCCGTGGCGGACGGCTTCCCGGAGCACTCAAAGTGCTTCTCCAGATCATGGTAGTATTCTGCTTTCTTCTCCTCTGAGCATCTCGCGAGGATATCAGCGATATTCGTCTGAGCGATGTCATCGAGTCTGAACTTCTCCGCGAGATGCTTCATGCGTTTGTCGCGGTTCACTGCTACGAATATGCCATCCTCGATCTCTTTCATCTTCACGACAAGCATACCGCACCTGATGTCACAGCTGCTTTTCTGAAAAATGGGTTGTGGGAGCTGCAGCAGGGTTACCTGTGTCAGGCACGGTTCCGTTCGTCCAGAGATCTCTGGTCATTCATTGGTCAGGGGGCCGACGCACAAGGGGCCTTCTCATTTTGGCGCACAGTTACAAAAACTCCGAAAACTTCCTGAACCTACCCCAAACTTCTTGAAGGAACCCAAAACTTCCAAAAACTTCCAGGAACTACCTAAAGCTACATGGCCCGTTGTAGTAGGGCTTTAGCTTGCAGTTTACCTGGGGTCTACATTGGAGCTCATGTGGGGTGTAGGGTTTAGGGTTAAGGTAAACCACACAGGGGAATGGATCGAAGATCTGGTCGTGTTGGTGTATCCACCTCAGATAACTCGTGGCTTACGTCGGCCACCCATAACTCCAATAATGCACCCAGAACACCGGACACATAAGAAATAATGACCACCAAGTTCCAAAAATTACCCCCAAAGCGCCGAGTTGCCCCAAACTACCAGAAACAAACGTGCGAAACACTACCCGAAACTACGGAAAACTGCAGAAAAGACTGCCGGAAGCTACGAAATACTATCCAAAACTACCCTTAACTGCCAAAAACTGCCGAGAATCAGCCATGGCAACCTCCCCAAACTACGGAAAACTTCCAAAACCTACCAAAAACTTCAAATTTGGCTTGCGCTTTTGTTGTTGCCCATTTCCTCCCCAAACCTCTCGTCGGGAAGGAAATGCTTAACTTAACCCTTTGCTTCATGCGATTTTTGCATCCATAACCCTAAACCTTCAGCAAGAAGCCGGACGCGAAAGCCCTGCAAATGTTGAGAATCATGACATATTCTGTCCCCTGAGTCAGGTTGGCATGGTAGTTTTCTGAAGTTTTCGGTAGTTTACTGGATTTTGTGGAATGCCGGTTTTGGGGCTGATAAGACCCTCTTTGAGTAGGCCCCATAAGCTTACGATGAAAGTTTCTTCGAGGGCTTCGAGTGAAAATGCACTTCGTGAGAATGCTCGCCATGTTGCGGAGATCGCGCTTTCTCCATGATTTGCCGAAGCTTTTTCAGATCTTCGTCCCAAGTGTCCAGCCTTGATTTTCTCCACATGCAATGCCGGCGATCATTTCCAGATTTACCGACAAGACCCCCAACGTCCTAAACGCTGCCCCCTTACCTGCTCAAGCCTCTGACATGACGAAAGGAAGTGCCAGGGCTCCGATCTTTCATCAACTCGTTCAGCTTCTCCACGTGGCGCTCCTCGATGTAGAAGCCTGGAATGCAAGTCGACCCACAAGCACGGTTTCACGACGAACCTTGTGGGGAAGTCTAAAGTCGGGTAGTGGTCTAGGAGTCTAGCACTACATCAGCCCGGTGGTATCCGCAATTCCTTCAACAGCTGGTGGCCCACCTTCACAGAGATCCGTGATGTCGGGATGGATGCGGCCGTGCTCCGACACGTAAATCTTATTCGGGTCGTACCCGTCTTCGTCGGCCTGTCGCCCTTTCTGCACGCGGTTTGCCTGCGAGAAGCCCAGGAAGCCCTGCTGAGGCAGCTGCTAGCAATTTACAACCCAATTCCACAGGTCTCTCGGTCTCTCAGATGGCCTGGGAAGCTTGTGTTCCAGGGTTCGCGTGCATCGCAAACGCGGCCGGCAAAGTTCCTGTCCCGGCCATCTGTGGGCTGGGGACAGCCTGACCTGCAGTTTACGAGCACGGATTCGGGAAGCGAAGACTTCAGGGCTTGGTCGGGTTGGTGTCTCTTTCTCATCTTCCTTCTTTCTGTTGCCACTCCTCGTCTTCGCCTTCTGGGGGTAGTATGGGCTGAACGCAGACGGACACCTGCCTCCCGTAGTTTAACTCTACACCATCGGTAAAAAGAACAGCAGGTTGAATGGGAGCAGTCATGTGTGCACCACCCGCGTGCCTCACTTTGTTTTTAAGTACACTTCTCCCCCACAGAAGGTGGTCTATGAAACCAACAAAAACCGACCGATACGATGATCTCGATGGCCGCTCACGGCTCTCTTGAGCCAAATCGGCTACTCTGTCCGACTCTCCCTCTCTGGCTAGGCAGGCATGGTAAAGCCTTAGAGCGAGCCTCCTATGGGGCTCAACGCAGGTACGGGCTTGCCCATTGCAGTCATTGACATGAGGTTCTGCAGCTGCGCAAAGGCACTCCTTGGCTCGAGACGGAGGAAAGAATGCGCCATCAAACGGTGCCATCAAAGAGAAAATGTTGGTGCTTGCAGCCAAGTAGCTGGATGTTATCCATGCCACCCATGCCACATCCGCCGAAACCTTCCGTGCCGTCTGCGCCGGCCTTTTTTCGGCCCATGCTGAACAGGCTGCCTGGTCGTGCACACCGAGCTTGCGTCGACAGCATGTGATGACGGCACGGACGTACCATCTTCTTACACCTCTGCCGTTTCACCTTTGGCAAGTTGCTGACTTCCCCGACCGGCGAAACCTCTTGCAAGCAAGAGTTGCGGATAGGGGACGGGCCTGAAAAGTCATCGTCTAACACTTCGCAGATAGGCGTTGCGGGTTTGCCGGCAGTCTTGCCGAAGCTTCCCCGAGAAAAACTGTACTCAAAAGCAACATGGCCTTCGACACGTAGTCCAGTTTGATCGTCACTCGAAGCAGTCCATCGCACCAAGCGGCAAATTGGCAAGTGCAGACGATAGATTTCAAGCAAATGCCTTGTATGAGTAAGAAGGAAGTCAACAAAGTTTTGCCATGCCCGCTTGTCGAATCCTCATCCTACGGAAAGATGCAAAGACACGTTATGTACGTACAGTGTTAGAAGAAGGGGACCAACTTACCAACTGACTGGTAGCTTATGAGCCTGAAGCATCTGACGCGCATCTCAAGAATGGCTTGGCAGCACGAAGCAAAACGCAAGTGTTGCGAGTGCCCGGCCCACTGTGCGCAGCTGCATTGCGAAGACGATGCCAGTGTGTCTGTGGAATCGTCCTGACAGAAGATGTCGCACCGAGCAAGTGGCATCACAGCGACGTTGTGGAAGCCGATTTGCCACCCCACCTGCTGGCGCTTCGAGCTTCGCCGCCTAAACCAGCAGTCCGCTGCAGGCGAATGGCTTTGGACAGCTTCCAAGACCCCAGCCCAGTCTGCAAGCGTCCTCTCATTTCGACATTTATGCCTCACCTCATCCAGGCGGCTGTTGCAGACATTATTTTCAAACAACTTCTGCTGAGTCTTGCGCCAGGTTCGGGGACGGTCTGCTGTCGCGAACCATTGGGCTGCTCGCACACGCTTTGTGCAGCGGGATGGGCCCAAGCAGCAAACGTTCCGCAAAAAAGGCTTAAAGTAACTCTATCTTTCTTTGCCTGCCGGCTTGTGGGGGTAATGGCGCATGCTGCAAGGGTCTGGGAGAATGAGGTTCGGTAGACTTCAGCACCAAATCTGAGACTGTGGTGCGGTACAGGCTCAAAGCTTGCGGTGAATCTGGCTCAACCTTCTGATCCACGATCCCAAAGACGCGCGGCAGCGTGGCCCCAAGTGTGCAGAGCCCTCTAACAAATCCCAAGAGCTCCTCGTGGTCCTAGCGATGCGCAAGGCTCATTTTGGCGTGCCTCAAGCTGCGGAGGACTCTTCCTGGCTGTACTTCCACGGTACCCCGTGCAGGCCAGGAGTGATGCTTGCAGGAGGTGGCCTTGAAGCGCTCGGGGCCGAATGAAGCTGTGACGATGCTGCTGTGCTTGCGTTGGTGATGGATTTGATGTGGGACTTTCCCAGGGACTGCACCACTACCTCGCTCTCTGCAGGCAGAGCAGACAAGAGGTGAGTCATGGGCGCTGACAACAAGAGTTCTTCAAGGTCTGTAATATACTCACCGGTCCACCGGCGGGCTCCCAAAGCAACTTCCAATTCGAAAGGAGTGCAGATTGGCACCATCAAGTCTTGAACATCCCATGTGAACTGCTCCGGACCGCACAGAAGCACATAACATTCCACTTCGGGGAAGTTCCCCAATTTCTCCTGCGTCGGCTGTCCGACAACGAATCTGTAATGTTTTCGCCCCCCCTTTGTGAGCAGAATCTCCAAACGCTGCGCCAATGCGCGCCCCAATGTTGTTGGGCCACCTGCAGCTACCAGTAGTATGCCAACGGTTGCAGCACCTTTCGCCGCCTCCACATAGCGGTACCTCTTCTGCAGAAGGCTATTGCTGAAAATTCGATCTACCTTCGTAGATCCTTGGCTAAGCTTGAACTCCTCTGCCTGGCTGCAAAGGCGCCAGACAGGGCAAACACCTCCGAAACGGAGGAGCACGCACCTTTCAAGAGTAGAGGCCGGCAGACCCACGTATAGGATTGTTGTGTCATCTGGCAAAGAGTGCTCGTAGCAGGGCTGGCGGCCTCTCTCTGTAACCGAGGTGACCACCCGCCCGCAGACTTTGAGCTGATTTGGCCGGGCGGCCGCTGCGCGAGTCAAGGTGCCAAGTGCAGCCCACCAGTTTTCAGCGAAGTCCACGGTGCCCCAGCGCCAATCATGCCAGCGAGGCAAGATCTCGCCGGCTGAAGCTTCTTCAAACGACTCGGTCATCAAGATCCGCCAGCGGCCCCCTTCTTGGCCTAGCTCGCGCAAGAAAGCTTCGGCAAGAGGTCCCCCAAAGTGCTGGTACGCCAAATCACATATCACGACCAAGCAGGAAGCATCCTGATGTGGGATTCACTTACGACAAGACACAACTCAATCCAAGTAATTCTGGCAGGATAACTTGTCAGTCCGAGATTTAGATGGCATCAGGATAATTCATGCGAAGATCATGGGCCCGGAACAGTCTACTTGTCTGATGTTTCGTCGAGCGAGCACTGTAAATTTAAACGACTGGCAACAAGGAGAGTTCGCACTGCAACCAGCCCTCAAAAGCCAGCCAAGGACTTGTGCACGACGCACCCTCGATATGCAGCATGAAAGCAAGCACTCTTGCAATAAGAAAGCTCAGTGGGGCAGACAAGTGGGAAGAGGCTTCAGGCGGGACCTGGGAGATTTCGGGCTCATGAGACGAGTACGACTACTGGAGAAACCTTGGACTCTCAAGTCGACTGAACTGAGCACGTTTCGTAGAACCAAGATGTACCTCGCAAGCTCCCAGCCTGCGCACGGATAGTGCTCGCTATGGTGGCGATGTCATTGAAAGATTCCAGATCCTTCTGCTCCCCGAACACAAACAGCACTGGCAAGTCACCACCTCTCTGCTGCTCTGCATGTCCGAAGCGCACGATGCAGTCTGCGCCGTAATGCAAAGCTCCAACTTCGTCAACGCCTCCTCCGCCAAAAGAGGAGTCACCCAAAATGAAGGCTCGCTTCTCTGGCAAAGCCTTCTGCACTCTGGCTACCACATACGGTGCGTCTGGTAGCATCGCATCTGGAAACTGCAGCGCAATTCGATCGAAACCATGCTGGGTAACCCAGTCCACGATTCGCTTCGTTTGCGGATCGGCCATCTCAAGTCAAGCGGTACAGGAGTGGCATCTATGCACTGACACAACACTGGCACAGGCCAGATCGGCATGGTTTTTGAATGTGAATCATGGCATCCCCTGTCCTGCCAAGTTTCTCTCTGCCTCAAATGTTCTAATCCGGCAAATGCTACAACGAAAACAGCTGTCGGCACTTGCCCTTGCCTTTACCTGCAAGCTGCTGGGTGCAAGAGTCTGCAGGACCTGCGAAGTGAGAAACGAATGCTGCTGTGTCGCCTGAGCCCTTTTTCCCTTTGCCCTTTCCTTTGCCTTTACCTCTTCCTTTGCCTTTGCCTTTGCCCTGTCCGTCGCCACGACCTGCAGAAGCCGAAGTGCCAAGCACGAAATTCGGTACATGCTGTACACAGTACAGCACAGTACATTGCTTTGCCTGCGCCGGTCTTTGCAGCTCTTCTTCTCTGCTCCTGCACGCACATTACGGGGTGGTGGTGGTGGGTGTTGGTGGCCGGTGGTCGTGGTTGGTCGTGGGTGGTAGTGGGTGGTAGTGGATGGTAGTGGGTGGTGAGTGGTGCAGCGCCATGGGCTTAGAGGAATCCATCAAAACAAAGAGAAGGGTGACAGGATGGGCAGCAGAGAGCCGATGGAAATCGAAAGGCATTGAACAATCAAGGCGGTACGTGTATATGTTCCAGAGGAAATCGGCGACAACCCGCGACCTCGAAGAAGCTTGGCAATGGCAACGAGAACGGTGTAATGGAAAATGAGAGTCTGGCTAGGCTCAGCGTCCACTGGAAATCGGAAAGTGGTACTACAGAGAGGAAAGACCGTGATCCGCAGTCCTCCAAGTCGAAGGCAGATCGGCCCTCGAAAGCGACCTGTTAGAAAGGAGATGCTCAACCACCGAAACCGCGCCTCGAGAGAGAAGTATCAAGGTTGAATGCTTGATACACTCTCCAATACACAGATGCCTCTGAGAATGCATGTAAAGACGCTGCCCTGCGGTCTAAACCCGTATGTTGACATGCCATCTAACTTTTTTCTGCAGCGAGAGCACCCAAGCAGCACTTCAAAACCTGGTACACCTTACCACACATCCCACTCGAGCCCTTGAACGTCCGATCCACGAAATGCGAAGTTGCACAGCAATCGAACATGCAGTCCATGCAGTTTTCAACGATCCACTCTGGAGCTTGCACCTTCGACTTCTTGGCTTTGTGTTTCTTCTTTCCAACCTACGACACAGCAGTGATTTCAATCGCGCTTCCGGATCCGCGACACCGCAATACCCGAGGCAGATGCATCGTACTCCATGTCAAGCTCGTCACGACGTTGTGGAAGGGGTTGCAGCTTCTCTTGGACCTTAACGATATGCTGTCTAGCGATGGCTGCAGAAACACATCAAACTGTTCAGTGAGCCAAGCAGGAGTGAAGCCAAAACGAGGTGCAAGGCCATTGAGGTTCGCACTGCTTGAAAAGCCTTGTGCTGCTCCTCTGTCAAAGTTTGGTCGTCCCATCGTTCTACCTTGGAATCTGCAGGAACGAAACTAACCTGCCACCTAAAGCCGTGTGACTCACTAAACAAATCTGTGAGCTTTCCGACGGTCCGTGGACACCCACGCCCACAGGCTTTCAGGACAAACGCACTCTATTTTTTCCGGTTTCTGGTACGACGGTAGAACACTTACTTGTAACTTTTTCTTTTCTTAGATGTAATTTTTCAGCTTTTTCAGGAAGATCGCTTAGTTGTAACTTTTCTTGGCTCCGAACACAGCAAGTCTCTGCAGAAGGTTGCAAAACAGACATCTTAGTTGTAACTTGTTTTCTCAAATGTAACTTTTCACCTTATTCACTCCGAACAGCTTTCGCCTTCGGAAATCACTCCTTGGTGTTTTCGTCTTGGGTATTCACTCCTTAGGGCCTTCGTCTTGGGTTGAAGGTTCCTGCTGGGTTCACACCGTAGGGCTTTCGCCTATTAATTCCTCAGGGTTTTCGTGTTGGGTTAAAGTTTCCTGCTGGACTTACAGGAATGGTTTTCCTCTTTGGTCAAAGGTTCCTGCTGAATTCACTCCTTAAGGTGTTCATCCTTCGGGAAAGGGTTCCTGCTGGATTCACTCCTTAGGGCTTTCGTCTTGGGTATTCACTCCTTCTCGGCTTTCGTGTTGGGTTAGAGCTTCCTGCTGAATTCACTCCTTGGGGTTTTCGTCTTGGGATTTCACTCCTTAAGGTTTTCGTCTTGGGTATTCACTCCTTAGGGTTTTCGTCTTGGGCCACGCGCGCCGGGTTGGTTGGGGCTAAGTGCGGTCTGGGGGTAAGTGGGGTAGGCGGCAGTAGGAAAAAGGAAAAATCTTACATCTAAGAGTACATCGAACAAAACAAGAAAGTTACAACTAAGCCTGCTTTTTAAGGGAGCCTGCTCTCTACGATGTGGCGTGCTACACGCTGCACACTCGCTTCCACATCTTCTGCTTCCACTCGGTCCAGAGGCTTGACGTAGGGAGTGGGGGGCAAGGACGCAAACATGCTTCAATTGTGTCCCGGCTTCCGTTTCCCACATAGACACAATCCCGCTTTTTGGCGGCTCAGTGCCAGCGGTTGGATCCCGCACTCCAGACCCACCCACTGCGCCCGCGACCACATCGAAAAGGCGACTCCCAGGTGTTCACAACTGGGTCTCGCTTCTGTTCCGTCCACACGTATCACTA